AGAGTTTCTAAAAGGTCATCTAAAAACTGGATGATGCGGCGGGAGAAGGAAATGGAGTGTGCGACAGCAGCAGCAGCAGCAGCAGCAGCAGAATCTTTGTTCTAAAATGGCGACTGGACCATTTGTTATTTTTTTTTGCTTTCTTTCCAAAAGAAGACAAAAGTTCAGGGAGTAATGGGTTTGGTGGTAACACTGTTTTGTAGGCGTAGGCTTCCCCTCTCATATGTCGCTGTCTGTCATAAACTTCAGGGAAAACCAGAGATCCATTCTTTCTATTTCTTTCGTTAATAATGTTTGAAAATAAACTCTCTCTTTCTCTTCACCCTTTTCCGGAAATTCATCATCCATTTCTCACCCTTTTCCAAATCAAAGCCCAACCCTTTCCACAAATTTCAATCTTCTCACTTGGGTCTCTCCCCGTTTCACATTTGGATGTGTAAATCATGGCCTTTCCGCCCACTGCTTTCTCCATTCGGTAAGTTCCTCCCGTCTTAACTGCTGTGTAATGCATCACTGTTCCAGTTTTGAAATGGGTTTGTTTTGTTTTTGATTCTTAGAGAGTATGCTCTGAAAATGAGAGGGAAGGATTTGACGAGACGAAGTTGGCCGTTTAGTGAGAAGGTGAAGGAAGAAGTGGCTGAAGCTCTGCTGCCACCAATTTCCGTCGCGAAATTCCGTTGGTGGTCTCAAGAGCTGCAGATTCTGAAATCGAATAAAGTAGTAGAGGATAGTAAAGTGGACAAAATTTGTCCTGTTTGTGGAGTTTTTGTTACAGCTACGGTGAACGCAATGAGCGCACATATTGATGGTTGTTTAGCTCCAACAACCAAGGAAAAAAGAAAAAACAAAGCAGGCGGAGGAGGAGCAGCAGCGTTTTTGAAGGCAAAATCAAGACCCCCCAAAAAGCGATCAATAGCCGAGATTTTCGCAGTGGCTCCGCCAGTAGAAACAATGACTATGATTCATGATTGTGAGGGAGAAAAAGTGAGTGGGAAACAAAGAAATGGAGACAAGATCAAAGCCACATCGTTGGCTACGACTCTTGTCTCCGCTATGAAGACAATGAAGGCCAACAACAACAACAACAACAAAAACAAGGTATGTGATTCTGTTTTCTGGGTTTAATTCAAACGGTGTGAGGGGGAAAACTGTAGATTTTAATAGGCTCTATTTTCTCTCTCTGCTTATAATTACTGCTGGAAAAAGCTGGTGAAAGAGACTGCGTTAGGTTGGAGAGTAAAAGAAAGAGAAAAAAGGGTGACTACAAGACGAGTTTGAATAGTTTGTGAAGGGTTTATGTGAGGTTATTATGGGTGTATGTCTGCGTGGGTTTTACTATCATCTCCATTTGAGGTGCTTAGTTTTTGACAACTTTTTGACCAATTTTTCTATGACCATTTCAACTTTCAACCCATTATCACATGGGAATCACTTCATAAGATAAGCTATTTTGTGAAGCTTTCTGATGATTTGTTTAAGGAAACTGAGCTGATGATTTGTTTAAGGAAACTGAGCTGATGATTTGTTCAAGGAAACTGAGATGATGATTTGTTGAAGGAAACTGAGGGCCACATAATGGAATGCTGTGGATAAGAGAGTTGAGAAGACAATGTTTAAGAATAGAGCATTTCATTATTTGCTGTTCATTAAGGGCCCTCCTCAGATTCCTCACTACTCCTTTTCTGCACAATATTCTTTTATATCACATCACCCAATAGGATTAAAATTTTATGTGCTCAAGATACTATAAGTTTGAGCTGCCCAAACCCACTGCTTTGATGCGTTCCTTTTGTGTAAGAAACAGAGGCATATATATATATATATATATATATATATTTATGTTTTGACTGTTCACTTTTGAGAGCCTAACTTGATGAAATACCACAGAAAAAGCTTATAATCTTTATATTTACTTCTGCAATCATTTTCACTTGGACATAGGAGTTTGGTCATGAGCAACTTTGCAAGAAGGGCCACAGAAATCACAAGGGTGTTTTGGTCTGTTGTAAGAAACCTTGTTTTAAACGACTGTCGAGACAAAAAATGCAAAAGCCAGTTAAAAAGTCCAATGTAGTTGCCAAGCAACAGAGGGCAGTGCCTCCAATTAGGAGCATTTTGAAGCACAGTGTAACAAATTCTTCATCCACCAACTTCAAATGCAGTGATCAAGTGATTAATAATGGCAGTCGAAAATCCGATCGGCGCGTTAGCTTCTCGGATAAGAAGGATGTTCTTGGTCCAAGCACTACCTGTGTACAAACTGGTGGCAGTCCATTTCAAGACTCAGAGGGAAACACTAATTCAGGGGAAAGTAATACAGGAGTTGATTCGATGGAGGTTGGCATAAACAACGATAGATCTCATCCTTGTTGGGACGGTGTGAACCATTCGGCTGAGAAGTCAATATCGGTAAATCGGGTTATTCCTCATGAAAATAGTTTGCATTTGTTTGATCATCCTCAGAAGCTGCCATCAGTACATTCTGCCATTCCTTCTCTATTAGCTGCACAAGAAGAAAGGCAATATGGGCATGATGCGCATTCTTTCTGTGGAAAATCAGTTGACTATTTGATAACTCCTATGAATGGAGTAGCTGCCTTAAGTGAAAATGCAGCTGGCAGATTTCTTAACTTGGCTGAATCTTCTGCTAAGGACACTCGATCCAGCCTTCCAAACTGGGAGCAAAGTATGGTCGCCTACAAAGAGAAGGGTGTGAATGATGGATTCTTCTGCCTGCCATTGAACTCAAAGGGTGAGCTGATACAACTAAATTCAGGTTTGATTAATGGGTTTGATCAAATGAATGATACCAGTAACACTATGGTGTGTTCTAGCAGGATACCGGGATGCGGTCTCGTCCTGCCAAGAAGCGCCCGGGATTGTTTCATAGATAATCAAAAACTCCTTGTGGACACTGAACTTACAGGAAACCAGTTGAGTTTATTTCCATTGCATAGTAATATGCAAGAAAATCAAAGATACTTGTCAGCTGGATTCGATGTCACTGAGACTGGAATTTCAAGAACAGCTGATATTAGACTGCAAAATTCAGAAAGGGGAACAGAATGTGGAAGGTTTTTTCACTCAAACTTGATGGATCCTCCATTTAATCCTGAAAATTCAAGTAGCTTGTTGCCGAATCCCGCTCGACAAACGATGCGGTTGATGGGAAAAGATGTAGCCGTTGGTGGAAATGGGAAAAAAGTTGTAGAACCTGAGGTCATAAACTTTTGGAAGAACACATCCTTATTTGAGAACTGCCTAACCAATTCTATCCAAGAGAATCCCATGAGAAAAAGAAACTATCTGGAAGATACACTGTTTTATCCTGCAGGCTTTCATAGCAATCAAGTGGCACAAAGAAGCTTATTGCCAAATGCTCCACAAGGTAGGTACCCCCATCCCCGTGTCGATCGAAAAAACAGTATAATGTATCACAGATCCGACTCTGTCATCAACTTAAACGAAAGGTTCAACAACATCCATAGCTTTTCACCTTTGCCGACCGATCAAGCCTTCAATATGGCACTGAACTTTGAAGCACCCTTTTTTTCTGGTTCTCAAGCAGTAAGGCTTAGTGCACAGCCATCAACATTTTCTACTTCTTTTGAACTTGGTTTCAATCAGAACAATCTACATCCAGCAGAATTAGGAAACATCAACTTCCCTTTCTTGCAGCCAGCTGATGAAAGTCATGTCCAGCATCCTAGGTTTCACAGCTCTAAGAGCCTTCCCCCATGGATGTTACACGGTCACAAACGGGAAGACGTGCCGACCGCAAGCTCTAAACTCGCTGACATAAACGGATACTATTATCCATTCATTGCTTCTGGTGCTGATGTTCGCATTAGTCCTTCTGCTCATCAGCTGAATGAGGCTGGATATCCTCGCAGTACAACGCCATCTCACTTACAGATGAAGAATATACCTGTTTCAACATCTTTTCATCAACCAATATCTATTTCTCCTCGAGTTCACTCACCGTCCATTAGAACGAGCTATGAAGACAGATTGAAGTTCAACACTTTGAGTGTCAAGGACTCTGATCTTTCAAGTAGAAAGCAACCTGCTGGAGAGCTGGTTGATTCAAGGAAGTGTCGAATGGTATCGAGTTTAGAAATGAACAATGCCGGGGTTCTGCCACGGTGGACACAACGCAAACTCATTGATGATGTGCAATCTAACCCAAGGACGGCGGCGAAAATCATTGCTAACTGGGACAAAGCTGTTAATTCAGCAGGAAATATGTCAAATATGAGTCAAACTGATGGAATAGTGAACGAAGCTCCTAAAGGTGAATGTATGGCAAGAAGAGGCCCCATTAAGTTAACAGCAGGAGCAAAACACATACTGAAACCAAGTCAGAGAATGGATTTAGAGTATAATAAGCCTACCTATTCAACAGTTCCTTCTGCTGGCTTAGCTCAGTGTGTAAGCTTGGTAGAATCTCAGAAGAAGTCAACAAAAGTATACAGTTTTTGAAGTAAGCATTGTAGTTTGTCTTGTAATTATTTGCTAAATCTAATTCTAATCTACTTTTGGCTGATATTAGAAAATGATATTATCTGCATGACAGGAAGAAACCTCTTCTTATCCTTATAACCTCTGACACAACAGTTATTGTCGACCCATCGTAGTCACCAAGCGAATGCCAGTTTTTTCGGTACGTGAATGTATTCGTGATAACATGATGCTCAGGTAGGTTTTGGTCTTGGTTTCTTATGGTAAGTTTTAGATCAAGTCTCTTTACAAGGTGCAGCCGCTCAAGCCCATCCACTTTAGTTCGTTACGTATCATCGTCAATCTCACGGTTTTTAAAATGCATATGCTAGAAAGAGATTTCCATACCCTTAAAAGATATGTTCGTCGGTTGAGCTCATTCGTTACCAAAATAATTGAAACCATTATGTTTAACTGGTTATAGTTTATATGAACTATGAAAATGAGAAAAAGATTAGAGAGATTGATATGTCTACTAAAACAAATTTTGATCCAACAAAGGGGAAGGGGTTAATGTTTGGATATTTATTTCTTACGATCATGTAATTAGGAAACATATGTTACAAAGCATTATAAAAGAAATATTTTGAACAGTTGTACGAGTATCATGATGCATATACATTGGCATGCTTCTTAGTATTCATGCTCCTCTTCATATTTCCTTGTGGTAGTTTGTGTTAGTTGCCTGCAAAATTTGTTGAATGATGATTGTAAGTCCGAATGATGAGAGAGAGAGATGAAGAAAAAGAAAGAGTATGAACAATATTTTATGTACCTAAACCAATTTTGACAATCTGTTCTAGAGAATCAGCTCCCTTCTTTTCAATGTAATCATCCACCAACTTCCATGCACGAAAGATTTTCTTCTGCTCGTCCTCCTCATCACCTTCTTCCTCCTCCTCCTTTTTCTTTTTCTTTTCCTTCTCCTCTTCTTTGTCTTCCCTGTCTTCCTTCTCCTTCACGAGATCGGATTCTGGTTTCTCCTCGCGTTCGATCGTCATGAACTTCATCGCGATATTCTCATAAACATAAGCTGCACCCTTGAAACTAGGCAGCATCAGCCACAAGCAAACCACCATCTTTATGTAAGCCCAAATCGGAATCCTACAAAATTGTCGTTGAATATTAGATGGAACACAATTTGTATTGGTAGGAAATACAAAGTGGTTGAAGTCACATACGACACGCACCACGATATGATGGTGGAAAAATAAAGTTCGATCATGGTCAGAAAAGAAAGCAAAAGCCAATATGTGAGCCATTGCTGCTGCTGATCTCGCAATGAAGCTTTCTCTATTGCCCTCTTCGTTTCATACCTGTTTCTCTTCCAGTGTCAGCTCAAAAACTGCTTCAACTTGTAAGCGGACAGATATATATATATATATATATATATGTATACACACACACAGACTTACAGTGGATAGAGAAGAACAGTGGCAAATCTGCAGGGGAAGAAGGAAAAATAATAATCAATGTTTTTGAAAAAATTCGAAAAAAGAAAAAGAAAAACAAAGAAATTGGGTACCCGATTGCTGCATGCAACAAGTTAAAGGCGGCTCTTCCCAGAAAACCCATTTCGAATATGAAGGTTTAATAAGGAAACTCAAAAGAAAACCAAGGATGGATTGAAAGAAGGGGTAATATATATATATATATATATTTATGTTTATGTTTATTGAAAGCAAGGAAAGAATATCTGTCAATTTTGTTTTTGTCCTAGGAAAAGTTCTCCCATGTTTCTTCTTCTTCTTCTTCTTCATTCTGTCTTTCAACGACAAGACATTGAAATTGGAAGAGGGGAGGGAATCAAAGTTAACACATTTTATCTAACCCTATTCCCCTTTTCCACGCAACTCTGATTTTGGATTATTTTTTTTCCTTATAAATAAATAATAAAAAAAGAAAACACAAATATTTGTGGGCATACTTGTAATTTCATCCGATAATGCTTTCCTCACTCTCTCCTCCGTTGCGCGCCTTCTCTCTTCGCTTCACAATCAAAAATCAATCGCTCCCCTTCTCCATGTTTTGCCGTACACACCGCCACTTTTCCCTCTCTTTCTCCTCACTCTCCCCTTTTCTCGCCTGACCGCCCTTCCCTCTCCGTCGCCGGAAAGCTCTGTCCAGTCCAGTCCACTTCAGCCTCTCCCTTCACTGTATGCTCCCGAACCTTCTTCTCTATTTTCCCTCCTTCCGTTTATGCTCCTTAGAGTTCATATTTTTTTGTTTTTTTAAATAAAATAATTGATGGAGCGGAACCCTAACTTTAGCTCCGGGTCCGACTCGGGGTATTTTCCATTGCGTCTATATCTATCCGAGATCCACCGGTCAGTTTTTGGTATATTCGGGTCGGATACGTTGTGGGTCTCGGCGGTAATACCGATCCGGTGACCCTCTTTTGTGACTCTTCTTTTCTCATAAAATTCACTTCAATGAAGGCCCGACCCGCTTCTACTGGGGTTTATTTACCACTTCTGGGTCTTCTTCGGACCCGATGAGTGACCATGGAATCAAAATCCATACGACGTCTCCTTCTTATATCGTATTCGCTTTCTTCAAATTAGTTTCATGAAACTTGTAATAATTCATAGATAGGTTGTCAGATGAACAATTTTTTTTTTTTTTTTTTTTTTTTTTTGGGTTTGTCCAGTCATGTTTTGCATGTTGAGTTGGATCATGGTCTGTGTTGGCTACTGTTGTCTCTGTGAATGTTCACCAGTTTCCTCTTCTTTGAAAGATGTGACTTGCTATTGCTTTACTTTTTAGCCTATGGACAGTGGGATTTCGTTCTTCTTGTTCAAGCTCTTGTGTATTGGCATGGAAAAGATAAGTTTGTTAAAGAATGTGACCAGTAAATATTCTCCATATATCACTCTCACGATTTTAAAACGCGTCTATTAATGATTTTTCGTTACTGGTCTCCTCTCTGTAAGTTTCTTGGTCCAGTAATCTCTTTACCTTTTTTACTCAAAAGTTGGGAGGCTGTAGATATTTACGAGTGCATCCTATGTTTTATGGTGGTTGACTTGGAACATGAACATGCTTGTTTTTTCAGTTAGTCAAGGTTGAAACAAATTTTGGTCTTCCTTTCCGAATCTTTTTAATCAGAATTTATTGTGTGGTTTTCATATGCAGCTTTTGTTGGAAAGACAGGGTGATGTAATGGATATGTCGGAGGCAGTTATAGTAAAATCTAGCAGATTGAAATCCGTTGTGTGGAACGATTTTGATAGAATAAAAAAGGGTGACACCTTTGTTGCTGTCTGTAGGCATTGTAAGAAGAAACTCAGTGGATCGAGTACCAGTGGGACTTCTCATTTGAGGAATCACTTAATTAGGTGTCAGAGAAGATCTAATCAGTTTATTTCTTCATCCAGGGAAAAGAAAAAGGAAGCAACTCTGGCTATTACTAACTATGTTGATCCGGGGCAGAAGAAGGATGATGTACTCAATCTTGTCAATATTGGATTTAATCCAGAGAAGTTGAAAGAGGAAACAAGTAATACTCTGAGTTACAATTTTGATCAGCGACGAAGTTGCTTTGATCTCGCACGTATGATCATCTTGCACGGTTATCCATTGGCCATGGTTGAGCATGTTGGGTTCAGAGTATTTGTTAAAAATCTGCATCCCTTGTTCGAACTTGTAACATGCAATAAAGTTGAAACTGATTGTTTGGAGATATATGCCAAAGAGAAACAAAAAGTGAATGAGTTATTGGATAAATTGCCTGGTAAAGTTAGTCTCAGCGCTGATATGTGGACTGCCTCAGATCATCAGGAATCGGCATACCTGTGTCTTACAGCCCACTATATTGATGAGTCCTGGCAGTTAAATAAGAAGGTTTTGAACTTTATGTTTGTTGATCCTTCTCACACTGAAGATTTGCATTCAGAGACCATCATGACATGTCTTATGGATTGGGATATCGATCGGAAGTTATTTTCAATGACATTTGATTGTTCCTCTACCAGTGACTATATATCATTACGAATCAGAGACAGACTATCACAGAACAGGTTCCTGTATTGTAATGGTCAATTATTTGATGTCAGCTGTGCGGTAGATCTTCTCAATTTGATGGCTCAAGATGCTTTGGAAGCATTGTGCAGTATTCTCCCTAAAATTCGTGATAGTATTCAATACATTAAACAGTCTCGAGAAGTGCAAGCTAAGTTCAATGATATGGCCGAACAAGGTAAAGTTCAGAGCCAAAAAGTTGTATCTCTGGACAATCCAGCTCAGTGGAACTCGACTTATGCGATGCTTGGAGCGGCTATGGAATATCGAGAAGCATTTTCCCGTTTGCAGGAAAGTGAGGTTGGCTACACAGCATGCCCAACTGAAGAAGAGTGGTCTAGGACTTGTACAATCACTGGGTTTCTGAAGTTCTTTTTTGAAGTAACTAATGTTTTAACGAAGAGCAATTTTCCAACTGCAAATATATTTTTCCCCGAGCTCTGTGATGTGCACTTGCAGTTGATGGAATGGTTCAAGAATTCAGATGATTATATCAAGGCCTTGGCATTCAAGATGCGCACCAAGTTTGAAGAATATTGGGATAAGTGTGGATTGGCTCTAGCGGTTTCTGCCATTTTAGATCCTCGATTCAAAATGAAACTAGTAGAGTATTACTATCCACAGATATATGGGGTTGTTGCTCTACAGAGGATTGATGATGTTATGAACTGCGTGAAGGCGCTTTACAATGAACATATGATCTGCTCGCCATTAGCTTCAATGGATGAAGGTCTTGCCTGGCAAGTTGGGAGTAGTTCTGGGAAGGATGGAAGGGATAGATTGATGGGGTTTGACAAATTTCTGCATGAAGCCTCGGAGAGTGAAGGCAGTAAGTCAGATTTGGAGAAGTACCTTGAGGAGCCTTTGTTTCCTCGTAATGCCGATTTCAATGTGTTGAACTGGTGGAAAGTTCACAGTCCTAGATATCCAATTTTGTCCATAATGGCTCGTAATGTGTTGGGGATTCCGATGTCAAAGGTTGCATCAGATTGTGCATTCAGGACTGGAAGAAGAGTGGTTGATCGAGAGTGGAGTTCATTGAAACCAGCTACGATTGAAGCATTGGTATGTTCACAGGATTGGATACGGAGTGAACTGGAGAGCTAATTCTTCCCTCACTTAACAACTCTGTCAATATTTATTCATTTTTGTCAATCTTTGTACTTCACTTGTGGCCATGGCCCATATGTGATTATGTGGGGTTTTTTTTCCCTAAAATTTTAAGCTAATCGTTAAGGACAGATTAGTCCCAAGTTTTATTAATTTGATAGCCTAATCCAAAATTCTTCAAGTTTGAACGGTAATCAAGCTTGTGATGAGCCTGTTGCAGACATGGGATAAAATTGTTGTTTGGTGTTGAATCACGTTTATTTCGTGGATGAACGGATTGGCCGAATCCTTAAACGTCACCATCTTCATTTCGTTCCATGTTCCTAAACGATTAAAACCATTCACGTGAAAGAAGCTATTTTTTTAAATGTATTTTCATTAACGTCTTGTTTTATTTAATATCTAGTAAGGCCACTGGGTTGAGTGATCAGCATGTTGTGTTTATGGAAAGCCGATATAGAATGGAGTGGAGAGGAGTTTATGGAAAGCCGAGATAGACGGGAATTTCTTAGCAGTAGGAAATAATATAATACGTAGTAAGGTAGGACACTGAGGAAACGGAAAATAGTTATACTTCAGGTGGTGAATTTATTGTTATTCTGGTTCAGATTCTAGGCTTGAATCTGCCCTCGTTGGCCATCTGGAAAACCCGGGCCTGAGCTGCTGCTGCTTTGTTTGAGCTTAGTGCCGATACAAAACTTTGACGAACTTCATCTGTTGTGAAGGGGTACCTGTTGTTGACCATGGAGTTCAGGAAAGCCGCAGCTCCTTCTCGGTACAGGGATCCTAGGCCATCAGTTCGTGTGTTTGAGAGTGCTTGTGGCAAGCTGAGAGTTGCTCCAAAGCCTGGAGAGCCTGTTATGCCAAAAACACTGCCCATTGTTCCCCACCACCCCAACAATCCCCATATTGCTCCTGGGTGCGTACTCCAATAGCTTAAAATACACCAACATTGTAGTTTGTCAGGGATTGTAATATGCCAGTATAGGGGGAATTGAAAAAAGTATTGTTACTTACTTGCATGTGCCAGTAAAGGGGGTATTGGGATCAGGAACAAAGGGAGGTGCTGATGTGGTTGGTGGGGTTCCATAGAATGGTGTACCAGATGTTGGAGGGTTGTAGTATCCATTACCACCTGAAGGAGGAGTTGATGGGTTAGGATCATAAGATGGAGGGCTGTCGTATCCACTACCGCCTGATGGAGGTGTGGATGGAGTTGATGGAGTAGGATCGTAAGTTGGAGGGCTGTAGTATCCACCACCACCTGAAGGAGTCGATGGGGTTGGAGTGGGATCATACGTTGGAGGGCTATTGTATCCACCATCTGAAGGAGTTGACGGAGTTGGTGTAGATGGGGTTGAAGGAGTTGTGGGATCATCAGTTGGAGGGCTATAGTATCCACCACCTGAAGGAGTTGACGGAGTTGGAGTAGATGGAGTTGACGGAGTTGGAGTAGATGGAGTTGACGGAGTTGGAGTAGATGGAGTAGACGGAGTTGGAGTGGGATCATAGGTTGGAGGGCTATAGTACCCACCACCACCTGAAGGAGCTGACGGAGTTGGAGTAGATGGAGTTGACGGAGTTGGAGTAGACGGAGTTGGAGTGGGATCATAGGTTGGAGGGCTATAGTACCCACCACCACCTGAAGGAGCTGACGGAGTTGGAGTAGATGGAGTTGACGGAGTTGGAGTAGATGGAGTAGACGGAGTTGGAGTAGATGGAGTAGACGGAGTTGGAGTGGGATCATAGGTTGGAGGGCTATAGTACCCACCACCACCTGAAGGAGCTGACGGAGTTGGAGTAGATGGAGTTGATGGGGTTGGAGTAGATGGAGTTGATGGAGTTGAAGGAGTTGGAGTGGGATCATAAGTTGGAGGGCTGTAGTATCCACCACCTGAAGGAGCTGACGGAGTTGGAGTTGATGGGGTCGAACCACCACCATCAGACGGAGGGCTTGATGGAGTTGATGGGGTTGGAGTGGGATCATGAGAGGGCGGGCTGTAATACCCACCACCATCTGAAGGAGGAGTGGATGGAATAGATGGTGTTGGATTATGTTTAGGAGACTTGTGGTGTCCACCACCACCGGAAGGAGGTTTTGATGGAGTAGGAGTGTGTGGTGGGTTTCCACAGTTCCCGGGTTTTGGGCTGCGTTTTTTACCACCATGTCCATGAGAGGGTGGTTTTCCTCCATGGCTTCCTCCCGAGCCATCAGGTGGTGGTGTAGTTCCATAAGGTGGACTCCCTGGTGAAGAACCTACAAACAAAGAGGAAAATACAAGGCATGCACTTTGTCACTGATATGAATAGTTGTAGCCACTTGTTTAAAGTCTTCCATCTTACTCAAAACAACAAAACATTTCAGAACCGTGGAATGCAAGGGAATGTGTGTGTGGGTAATAGAGAAACCTGAGGGGGGGCTTCCTGCATGTGGGTCTGGAGTGTAATAAGTCTTCTGATCTTCGTCGCTTGTAGACGTCAAAGGAATGGCCATGTCTCCAGAAACCAACCCAACAAAGAGAGTCCATAGGAGGAGGGAAGCTAGTGTTGTTCCCATTGTCTTCATATCTGTAGTGTTTTACTAAGAAGGGAAAGGAGAGGGATAGAACGTAGATGAAATGTATGAGAAGGCAAAGCAATGCATATAAAAGATGGAGTGAGGTATAGAGTGAAGTAAATACTTGCAGGTGGAAGGTTACGTGGTTAGTTGATACGTTGCAGGTTCATTTATTTGCTTATTTATTTCTTGCATTGTTAGCAATAATGTTTTCATTCTGGAGTCGACAATGCATGGCTTTCTGCCAATTTAGGCCCAGCTACTTCGAACGTTACCATTATTTTTTCTCCCTTCTTATTTTATTACATTTACTTTAACTGTCGCCAATCATATAGCTGGAATCACTTAGTTAGCCGTCGCTTTGAGTTTTTCCTCTCGGGCTTCACCTCAAAGTTTTTAAAACGCATTTGCTAGGGAAGGTTTCCAACTTCCACTCAAGGTTTGTTCGCTAGGGGAGGTTTCCAGCTTCTCCTCAAGGTTCATTTGCTAGGGGAAGTTGGTTCATTTGCTAGGAGGAGATCCCCAACTTCCCTAAGAACTTTTTAAAATGCGTCTATTAGGAGAGGTTTTTACACCATTATAATAATGCTTCGTTCTCCTCTCCAACCAATGTAAGATCTCACAATCCACTCCCTTCAAGGCCTAGCATCCTTGCAACACACCACCTAATGTTTGGCTCTAATATCATTTGCAACCGTCCAAGCCCACCGTTAACAGATATTGTCTTCTTTGGACTTTCTATTTCGGATTTCTCCTCAAGATTTTTAAAATGCGTCTGTCAAGGGAAGGTTTCCACGCATTTATAAAGAACACTTTGTTCTCCTCCCCATCAACGTGGGGTCTAATGAAATTAATGAAGAAGCAGATGATACCATCCACATCCCAAACAAGCTACCCAAACTGTAGCTTTCCTTGGCCTTGTCCTCTGGCCTCCTCAAAGGTACAAACAGTTGGTTAGAACTCAATTTTGCTTCTTTATATATGAACTTTACTGTCGGTCGGCAAAAATACTTGCCCACATTCAGGAAAAGTGAATAAATGAATAGAAGTTTATCAGCAGAGAGGTTCTTAATTTCGATAATGCCGCTTTTAGAGAGTTTAAGATTGTTGTTAGCTGTTGTTTGTTCCTCAGAGAAAACTTTGCCTGTCTTCATTTGGATCGCCCATTCTTCTCCATAATGGTTCAAATCTATTATGAAACAAGAACAGGATTTTGTAGGTATGTAGGGAATCTAAATTAGTCAGAATTATTGTCTTTTGATGGTTCCCTGGGTTGATTGATTACACCTTATAAAGCATAAGTTTCTACCCAGTTGCATTTCCTTTTTCAGTTCTTAATTGCTATCATTTTCCATCAACATGCCAGAGACCAAACAAACATATCCATAGACTGCAATAGCAAGAACCATGAAAATTGAAGATATACTCAACGGGTTTTGTGTCCTTTTGGGTGAATGATCTTTAGTTAGAGAGTAGTGTAGAATTTAACCTTGATACAGGGCTCTATGGTGGCGTGTAGAAGGGGACGTGTCCATTAAAATTTATTACTCCACAGAGATGTAGGTGAGAGTCGCTCGAATATGATAGGAGAGACTTAAAGAATGGCAGACCTTAGTTGTCGTTCTTTATGATTCTGAGAGATCTTAAACCATTTACAATCCTCTATTTGACTTGTTTTTTTGGGCCTACGAGTGAGGAGGAGGGCTATGAGGGTTAATGGTTAATAGCTGTCGATCAGAACTAAGGAAAGATAAAAAAAAATTTGAATACATTTGTGTAAGGAAGAATACAGCTTGAGACTGCATTGTCCATGGAAGCATGGTTAAAGTCTAAGTTATTAACAATAGCAACGACACTTATGTTTGCTTAGCAAGTATGCGTGAGCTAGTATAGCTTAGGACTCACAGATAATGAAAATAAATAAATCAAAATAGAGGGTTGCACCAGTTCTAACCTCATCGAGCAACTCAAGCTCATCCTCTCGCTCAGGTGCCGGCCCGGCTCTCCCTGCTCGATCAACTAAGTTGTGTTGGCAAGGTTGATGGCTGTCAACCAAGCTGTGAATTGAGAAATTTGACATAGTTGTCTGGAGGGAGCTGGTTTTCCAACCTAATTGAGTTGGGCAAAAAAGATGACACAAAGGGTTCGATTCACCTACCTGTTAAGCAAGTGGCGATCAACAATGTTTAAGTGCACCTCGAGTGACCATCAGTCTTGTAGTGTGGTAATAGTAAGTGCACCTTGAGTGACCATGCTTTCTTATTGACTATAGGAAATATCAGTTTACCATCACTAATTAGTTGGCAATAGATGATTGACTAACGTTTGATACGATCACGAGAGCATAGTAGGTCTCTTTATCTTATATTTCATAGGCCTCTTCTCCCATGTGGTTGTGATATTAGGTCATTCTGAGTTTTCCGTCTCACTTGGGACAAATCATTCATGGAAATAGGGTTATCATAAGCTAATGTGTGGTTCAAGGAATTACGAAGTTAAACCTGATCGAACCCTAGAAGGGCCAACCGAACAAACCAGATCAAACCCATTTGACCAATCCATCGAGTGGTCGGCAAAAAAAAAAAAATAAATAAATAAATAAAAGAGAAAGATAGGCAGCTCATCCTGAATGTAGAACCACTAAATATCAGATCATATAATTTACATAATTATGATTCTTTTCAAGAGCAGAAATCAAGATGACATGATAGGAAACCCTTCTACATTTCAACATTGTTGCTGTCCAAAAGTACAAGTCTGCCAATGTATTATATTCAACTCAGGCGCTAATACCATAAGCTAATGAATGGCCAGAGGACAAAAAGAATGCCATCTTTCAGCAGTTCATGGATATCTACAGGGCAAAATTTTTCATTAATACTAAAGAGGTTACAAATCTTTAATGCACTGTTTAGTGTCTGGTAATGGTAATAGGCGATGATTAATAGGTCTTACTCCTTGCTTAAGCCAACGGTTCAAGAGGAATGTTTCTAATTTCCTTACCTGCGAACAGAAAAAATCACAGAATAGAGTGAACAATGGATCGGCATCTCTAGTGGTCACGCAGTAATATGAATGCATACTGATAAAGTAGAAGGACCAATGATGGTGGTCATATTTGGATGTCTATTATTCTACGTTATCAAAAACCATCGGTGGTAGGCTGAAAGGTTAGACCAAGTAAACCGGCAACACACCAAACTTGAACAACTCTAAGCAAACTGTAAGGGTTGGGATGAGATAGGTGAATTTTCATTCTGATTTGTGTCAATTTGTACAAAACAAAAATTTCGGATAGGTTCACATGTTGGGAAAAAAATAGGTGGCAGTTCAACCCAAACCAACCCAATACAAATAAATAATATTCTAACATCTTTAACTTTTTCTAACAACTCAAGCTCACCACTAGTAGACATTGTCTTTTTTGGGCTTCTCTTTCGGACTTCCCCTCAAGGTTTTAAAATGCGTCTACTAGGGAGAGGTTTCCACACCTTTATAAGAAATATTTTGTTCTTCTCTCCAACTGATGTGAGATCTCACAATTCACCCTCCTTGAAGGTTCAGTGCCCAGTGTCTAGCTCTAATACCATTTGTAACAGCTCAAACCCACCGCTAACAGATATTGTCCTTTTTGGGCTTTTCCTTCCGGGTTTCCTCCCAAGGTTTTAAAACGTGCCTACTAAGAAGAGTTTTCCACGCCCTTATAAGGAATGCTTCGTTTCTCTCTCCAACCGATGTGGGATCTCACTTCTATTACTAATAATAACCTGCAATTGGCCAACATAAGATTCATACCACAAGTACGTGTTCACACTCGTCATGGCTCATGTGACCTTTTTCCAATTCATTTTTGTTTAGCTACACAAAGAACCTCCAAACAATGTGTTCAGTAACGTTATTCACATCGGTAGATCTATCTCCTCCACTTTCCAGCCTCCCTTCTACCTCAATATCTCTCTCCACTATATATCTCACCGATTGTTCCTATCTCTCTCTTTGCTCTGGATCTTGCTCTTTGTTGGTATCTCTCTCCACTCTAGATCTCTATTCAATCACCTTTGATCCATCTTCTTGCCATCTGATTTATCTCAACATAATGTTTCTTATCTGTCTGATGTCTAATCTCTCTCAATGCAATGTTTCTTATCTATCTTTCTGACGCGGGTGACTCATCTTGAAAAGGAAATCAGATTGCAGTAAAGCCAGCACTGTTTGAACTATCTCCTTCCAAAAGGTGTTTTCAACAAAATTCCAAATAAACAAGTTTGTCGTTCTGTCACCAAAATCACTGATGCTAGGTTTCTACGCACTTTAGGCTTACTAATTACAAAGGCTCAAAAACAACAAAATTGAAAATTAAAATAATAACATAAATTGTTAACAAATGTCCCACACCATTCTCACGTCAACAACCTGATGACCCAACCCAACCACAAAATTGGGTTGGTCTGGATGTTGCATTCAGTTTATTTGTGTAGGTTAACAGACCAACTCAAATTTTGAGGTTGGTCTACAAAACAACCACGAACTGACTCAACCCAACCCAAGCCATGAACTCTAACTAGACATGCAGGTACCAAAGGTTGGGACAAGATTTCCACAGCCCTTTGCATGAACACCCTTTTTCACTCCCACCTGGGCTTATGACCTTGAAGCAACATTTGGGCGAGTCGGTGACAAATCAATGAAAATAATAGTAATAGTGAAGGAAACTTAATAAAAGTTTTAAAAAGATTAACAATATTTGCATCTTCTTTTACCCTAGATATTCAACTCATTAATTCCCTCAATAAATTGCAATATAAGAGAACAAAATGGTATATATATATATATATAGAAGGAAAAACCAACCTGCCTAACAACAAACGTCTCCCCAGCAATGCTCAAGGGTTCAGTTAAAATAGTCAAAAGACCATTACGGTTCCCAAAAACCACATCTGTGAATGGTCGATCACCTACCTGAGAAAAGATGGATTTCAACTTCTAAATAATAGCTTACCCAAAAAACCAAAGCATTCAAGCAGTTCACCTGATTCTTACCATAATAAGTTGGGAAGAAGTAAAACCAAAGTGTTTCTCGATTTCTTCAGCTGTACCAGCAGGCTTCTTCACCCCTACGTCAAAATACTTAGCAATGTCTCATATGTGCAACGCAGAAATAACCTTACATACGCACTAAAAGTAATTAATCAGCCTATATTTACAGTGTGATCCATTATAAGCATTGAGCCTAACATGAGTTCATCATGTAGAAATCAATGAATTTTTATACGACACTTCATCCATAAAATGGAATGAAGAAATCTCGACGTCCAAATTCTCTACTTTTATGCACTAAGAGGTGGTGGTTAGCAATAAGACGTTCACCCACTAAAATGTTATAGCACGGGGATACAATATCTAAAGCCTAATGTTCAGCAACAGGAACAAAATTCAGCCTGCGTAAACAAATGTTACAGAAATAGAATTAAAGATGGAAAATTTACACTCACCATGCCTTATAACTTTAATTCCAATCGACCCCTCGATCGCTTTAGCTTTGGAACCATCATGATCATACTCAGAAAGCCCTAGCGCGCCAGATAACATGAGGGTAAATAGTCACATTGAGGGGAAAAACAAACCATTAAGGCTATTCAAGCAAGCACATTGCTAAGGAATTTAACCCATATTACCAGCAGAGTTGCTGAGTACCGCTACATTGTGGCCAAAGACAGATTTACACTGTTCAAGTGAGGATTTGAGAGGAGCCCAAATTGTCAAAGAGTACGGCGCGGTAATTGTATTGTCCTTATCAAATACAACGCCCTTGAAACCCCTTCTTTGCAGTTCAGCCCAATCAATGTAGCTCACATCGGGCACAACAACATGAGGTAGCGCCAAATGCCGGTCCTTAGTAATAACAGCTGCAGAAGAAACAATGCCTTCGATGTTTAATCTCTGACCTACTGCAGATTTCAGGTTCGCCCACCACATGTTTGTCAAAAGTCCCCTGGCGTTTTTGGCGCCCTTTTTCTGAACCTCTGGACCCGGATCTTGTTTCTGATTATTAGTAGCTGGGTCTTCGTCCGCGGCGTTCTCAGAGTTGACTGACAAGTAGAATTGCTGAAAAAGCCTCTGGTTTCGAATCGGGTCGGACTCGGCGTCGTGGGGGCTGTGGTTTTTGGTGCAACCGGTTGCTGGAGTTGGTGTAAAAGAGGGAACGCACAAATCATTGAATCGAGAACAATTGGTTACAAGGGAAAGGGGAGAAAAAGATTTATGGTTTGTGGAGAGACGAGGTTGGTGGAATGGAATCGAACGAGGACAAGAGCAACTGGGCAGAGAAACCACAGAAATGGAATGCGTTATCATGTTAGTTCTTCGCGCTTCTGATATAAAATCTGAATCTGGAATATAAAATTTCTTTGTGGGCTTCAAATGTGGATTCGGGCCTGACCCGAAGCTTATGTAAAGCCCAAATGTTGAATGACGGGTGCAGTTCATGTGGACATCCGTACGCACTTCACGCCAATGGGTACTCACAAATACTATGAAATGGGCTGAGTTAAGCTTTAAATCGTGCAATAGAGTAGGGGTGTCGGTGTTTGGGACAGCAAGTTTTGGTGCTGTCTTCAGCTCCATATTAGTGAGGTGAGTGAGGTGAGTGAGGCAGTATGAAGTGAAGCAACAAGCCGTTTTTACAGAGCATTTTGATGGCATACCATTTCCCTTTTGGCTTCCACTTTCGTTTCCCCATGGAAGGAGAGAGAGACCAAACGCAGAAGTGAGAGAATGGGAGTTGGAGTTGGGGATGATGATGATGAAGAAGAAGAAGAAATGAATGGGTATTTGTTGGAAAAGCTTAAAAATAGGAGAAAATGAGAAGGAAAAGGATGAGGAGATGGAGGAGAGCCCCATATGGGCAACACAACCAGATCTCTCTCCCAATCCCAATGCCCAATAAATCCTTTCTTGCTTCCCTTCTTGGAAGCATCGCCACTCTGTTATTTACTATTATTTTACTCCTCTAATTCAATTTCATGTTCTATAAAATAAAATATGATATTCGTACAACTTGGGTAATAATTAAAAACAAAAGTAGAATTTAATTTAAGAGTTAAAGCTTGGCCCTTTGGTTTAGTTAAATTAACAAAATAAGTACTGGGATTTTCTTTATTTCATGTATTGCTGGTGAACTGGGATTAATAACTAATACAAAAAAAAAAAAAGAGGAGAGTAAATTTTGGGGGCTCAAGGAGGTGGGGCTACTGATTGACGCCACGTGGCGACCATGCCAAGCCTAGTCATATAGATCATAGGATTAAGAGAGTGGGGAGGCACATGGGTGGCGTTGCCTTCAAGAAAATCATGTGATCACATGTGCTCTCTCTCTCTCTCTCTCTTTTCCTCCTCCCTTTCGTGGGCCCCATTTTCTATTTCTTCCTCTCTCTCTCTCTCTTACGTGTAACCCCACGCGCCCCACTTCTTCTCCCTTGCGCTTTGGTCTTTGTTTCCCCACCCCATTTTCTTAATTTACTACAAACCTCTCCAATTTAATTTCGACCTCTTAAAAACACTTTTAAATATTCATTAACCATCAAACTTATTGTGTTTGCTGGTGAGACAACGATGTCTTCCACATCTCTTTGTGAAACACGGTTAGATCTCCCTCCTTTTGTAAGGTCGGACCGTGGTTGAATTCTAGTACGTTCTTATTATAATTTCGAACACCCCTGTCGTGTCACATATTTAATTTGGATGTATTTTTAAGTGAGATAATTGTGTATTGAATCAACCTCTAAGGATAGATGGACCCCACCTTGTGTTTGGTTGGGTTTCTCAAATTCGTGCATTTATGAAGTGTTGGGAGATGAATTTGTTAACATTATTGAAGTGGTGAGGCAAAGCTAGTTTGAATTCTTTGAATTGGACACGAGAATAATAAAAACAGCATTTAGTTCCCGCTTACAGGCATGAGGTGGGAGAAACTTCACTCGCGTACGGCGGCGGTTGAAGGCCACGAAAATTCAAAAGCAGAGTGAGTTGGGTAGAAGGCCAAAAATGGTGGGCCACAGCTTCGTTGGCATTGACATTTCCAGAGCTCAACAATAATTTAACTCCCTTCTGCTTCTTCTTCTTCTTCTTCTTCTTCTTCTTCTTCTTCTTCTTCTTCTTCTTCTTCCCATTCAATTCACACGCCTCTGCCATTCTCTTCTCTCTCTCGAGCTGCAGCCATGGGGAAATCCCAAATTCAAAGACTCAAACTCGCCATTCAGACCAAGCGAACCACCACTCCTCGCCATAAAGCCCTAATCCTCAACGCATTGCATAAATCTCCTCTCAATCGCAACGCCCGCCGCCGGAGCCGCACAAAACCCACCCGCATTGCCTCCGGAAAAGCCGAGGAGAAGGAGGCCGTCGAACGGAAGATTCGCGCGTTGCAGACCATCGTCCCGGGAGGGGAATCGCTCGGAGTTGACAAACTATTCGAACAGACGGCGGAGTATATCATGAATTTGCAGCATCAGGTGAAGGCCATGAGGGCGCTGTCGAGCTTCTTCGAGAGCTTGGAGAAGGAGAAAAGCAAGTGCGGCGGAGGTTGAAGAAGATGAGTTACTCCTTTTTGTTTTTGATTTTTTTTTTTTCTTTCTTCCATTCGGTTAATTATTTTTTCTTTCCATGTGAGAAAGATGGGACGCTTGATTCTCAGTTTTCTCTGTTAGTTGGGAGCAGAATTTCGAATCCTTTTGCCTGTTTATGATCACCATCGTCTTCTCCATTATGCTACTCTCTGCTAAATCAGTGTGGCTTTCTAATGAATACAAAATCAAATTCCACCTGGTGAGAGTTGAGCGATGTCTCATTATTCCTCACCTTATGATCTTAATAGCCATTAATGTCTCATCTACTGCACTTCAGAATGCATCTGATTCCTTCATTCAGTGTTTACATTTTTTGGATTTTTTTTAAAAATAATTCCAAATCTAGATTCACTCATCACTTACGCCTACCATTTTGGATTAATCATCATTGTTTGAAAAGTAATTTACTTTCTTTTAGGTAAACTATCTATTGGTAAATCATTTTATTTCGCGTTCATACTATTTGTAGTACATCGATTCTGACTTGTTTTTTTAAAAATAGATTGAAAATAGTTCACTCTTTTCTTAATTTATTGTTGCTCATAATTTTCCGGATTTGGGGTAATAATATTACTGCTTTCAATTACTTTATTGGACGATGCTAATCTTTTATCATGCCAAAATATTGATCTCCATCAAAACTTGAGTCTCAGTGAGATTGTTGTTCATAAAAGCAATAACAACAAAACATAAATTAATACCAATCACCCAATTGGCATAAACCATGCAACCTCCTTCCAACTCCAACAAAGAAAAAAGAAAGAAAAGCTCAGCTTCCTCTTCAATGGCCAATCCAGTATGGGTGATGGTAAGTTTTAAGGTTTGAGATCCAATAAACGAACACTATCATGCTTTTCTTCTCTACTACAAAACTCTGGCAACTAGAAGCATGGACCCTGCCATTGAGACAAACGAGTTTCGTGGATAAAATGGCATTCATCTTATCTACAAGAAGTTGCTTCAAACTAAACATGACAAACTTGTCTCTTCCTTCTAAACTACTCAGCCAAATTTGAGTCATCGAAACATCGAAGCAAACCCAAGTAAAACGTTTTTATCAAAACTCCATGGACTAGATTCCTCAAAACACATGCTTCTCTAATACATTCTTGTCATACCATACTCGACCATGCCAGTGTTTCTATGGGTGGTGGCAGTTGCAGCTGGAACGGCTCCAGTATCATATTGAGCGTTTACCTGCACACGTGCAGCACGATCATTGTTTCCTGCCTTGTGCAATCCTATACGTGCCATAAAAAAAGGATTTGAGAAAGCACCAGTAGCTGCTGTGTCGGATGTTAATTTGGCTGCCATTCCACATTGAGGGGCTTGTTTGCATTGCAAGGAAGTGTCTTTCTCAGCCCCTGTTGTTGATGATTCTTCACTTTTGCCGCAAGACTGCTGGTAATAATATGTTGGATGGATAGCATGAGAAGGGAGGGCACTTCTAATTAACCTTCTTGGATCATAGGCATCCTTGGCGATACTTCCACTATCATATGGCATGACCGGGCCTGATATTCTTCCAGGCTCACCTAAACAAAGATATAAAATCAGCTCAGGTGGATCCAACAGTAAGTTAGGGGGATCAGACTGCTGGAAAGTAGACAAAACAAACATAGAATGGTACTCGAATAAGACCTTGAGTTGCAGCAATCCTCTGTGCAGCTGGATCTCTGTAATGCCGGTTGCTGTACGACCCTGGTGGCACATATCGGTCTTTAAAAGAAGCAATATTCGATGTTGCTTTAGGAGGAATGGTGTTCGACTGAACTGAAGACCTGGTAGCATGAGCGAAGAACTAGAAATCATCAGAACTGGACATTCGCTCTATGGCTTGATAGGTGACATTTGAAGAAGCGTTGTTTACCTAGGAAGAGATGCATGCTTTCTTTCTAGAGGATAAGCTGGTCCACTTTTCCCTCCATTATCTTCAAGATGAGCAAATTGTTTTTTGAACTGATCGAGTGCACTGTGCAAGCAGAAAAACATGGACCAGAAGATCAGCGTCAGGAATATCCACTTACCAAATCAACATTCAACATTTGGAAATTGAAATAGAGAAGGCATTAAGGACCTTGGATAAAGAAAATTTGCTCTCTCAGTTCCATTTAAGTAGTCTTTCAGCAGTTGAGGATGGTATTCTAGTATCTCCCGGAATATCAGCTCGCGAATGTCGTCCTTTGTGACCTTTCTCCTCTCAAATTCAAACTCCACCTTCGAGATTGGCTGGCAAGAAGGTTCCCTCTCAACTTTTGCCAGCCCTTTAAAGTAAGGATCTGCCAATGCCTGATGGAAAATGCAATGTTTTCAACATGTTAGCACATGCAACTAATTTTGCTCTATATCATACTATAATTTAGTGGATGGTTAAACGCTAGACAAATAAAAGCAAAGAGTAAATAACAGAGGTAGTAAGACAAGAATGTATCTAGTCGAGCATGTAACATCAGACCTCTTCCGCAGTAGGTCGATCCTTTGGATCAAACGCAAGCAATCGTTGTAGTAATTGCAGGGCTAGAGGATCCGCATTTGGGAACTTCTGTGAAAACGGAATGGGCTGCTTCTTCCTCATACTAGCTAAGTACCTTCTAGCCTTCTCATTTCTTACCTAAGGCAACACATTTGAAAGTTGACAGTCAAGAAAATTTTAAGCCAAAACATTAAAAAGATACAAAACTTCTCCACAACTATGCGTAATAAAAGGCCACTTACCCGAGAAATGGTATCTAATGAAGGCGTTCCAAGGAGATCTGTCATCAAATCAAGCTGATGAACAACATTTTTACCGGGAAAAATTGGTTTTCCAGTTAGTACTTCAGCAAATATGCAGCCAATACTCCAAATGTCAATGGCAGGAGTATACTACACCCAGACAAAAAAATAGAAAGAGTTACACGAAAACAAGGAAAAAATAAGTCACGAAATGAGGAACATCATTATCAGTCGTGAGTGGTGTAGCTTAAACCACTAAGGAGAGAATTCTCCAAGAACTATAATCCAAAGGACTTTATTATGTTTCAAAGTAAACTATACAAGAAACAACGCCCTATTTGTAGAGGAATTAACAACTAACTAAACCATTTAAACCAAAAATCTCACTTCGGCAGTATTGACTAATTTAGATCTATTGAGAGTTGGAGATTCAAGATAATCTGATTACTTGCTTGGAAAACATCATATGAAGCTAGAAAAGATAAGATAACAAGATTGTTTTGTTCTCTATGTTCAGAAAATGTCATCAAGACAAACCTTAGAGAAGAAAGAACCACATAGCTCTGGAGCTCTATACCATCTGGTAGCAACATAGTCCTGCAAGTAACATCACATTCTATAACCTTCGCTCTCTACATATATATCCAGAATTTCTATGATATTGAACATGACATACTAGGAAATCAATTGGCCTACCGTCCAAAATATTGTTGTCGGGGTGTCACTGAAAGCAACTCTAGCCAATCCAAAATCACATATTTTGAGTTTGCAATTTGCATTTGCCAATATATTCTTTGGTTTTAAATCCCGATGGTAGACATTTGCTGCAGTAATGTAGATCAAAATCAGATAGTTTACACATTATATCCAACCGCTACCATACTTACTCCAGACAGCATATCTCCACAAGAACAGAATTCAAAAGAAATGACAAAAGAAAAGGCTATATATGCTGTATGAAAAACAAAAAAAAACATCCCATCTAGCTTAAATGACAGTGGGCCAAGAAATTAAAATCATCACAACAGCACTCCAGCTCTACAAAAAGTGTAGTAAAGTGTCAACGCAGTACAATATCCAAGCACCTGCGTGAATATATTTTAGTGCACGGAGTAGCTGATAAAGGAAAAATTGATAGTGCTTTGTTGTTAAATCATCATTAGCCTTGATGACTTGATGCAAATCTGATTCCATCAACTCAAACACAACAAAGATATCTTTGAACCCCCTACGAGAAGGCGGTAGCATAATGTGTTTGATTTCAACAATATCAGGATGACGTAGAAGTCTGAGCAGCTTTATCTCACGAAGAATACGAGCAGCATCCGATAGGTGTTCAAAAATATCATTTATCTTCTTTATTGCCACTTTTTCATTAGTGAGAGTGTCGACAGCTGAACAAACCACTCCATAACTCCCCTTCCCAACAACTTCCTGAATTTTGAATCTGTTAGCGTCGCCATATTCAGAGAAAAAGTCCAACTCTGCAGAATCCTGTCACACAAACACCATCTACGTTAAGACACACGATACTTAATAAATTGAAACAGCCGACCAGCCAAGAGAGTTGAAAAATGGAATGAAATTTTTGGGTATAACTTTCCATGGACATCAGTAAATGGTATAGGATACACCACAAACCAGGAAAAGGACGAAGAAATGGCATCAAAATGAATAAAATAGAAGGAAATGACATCTATCTAAGGCTGCAAATTCAATATTTCACATGCATAGTCTATCCCTTCAATCAAAACCCAATCTATAAACTCTTATAATACGTGATTTTCACTTCAGATTCATGTTGAAACTGTCGTATGCTTCCATCCATATGCCTAAACTAGAAGGTATTTGACAAAAAAATTGCATCAGACAGAAACATTTATCAAACTTTGGGGGGGGGGGGAAAGAACCAACGCAGTAGAGAAGATTCTAACAAAGAGAGTTAAAAGTTCACCTTCTTACGGTGATTGGTCTGCATTTCCCTAAACTCTCAAACCCAACTTCGTCGAGAACAGTGAACACAAAATCTGAAATCAAGTTCAGCACCAAAACAGAAAACTTCGATTCTTAATTGACTAAAAGAAGACTCAACCGCATTTTCCCCATCTACCCCTGCTCCGGATCACAAACCCACAATCCCTCCTTATGCTCCTTCCCGAATCCTCCACGGAACATAATAAAATTACCCGAATCAAATCCCTCATACACTTCCCTACCTGCAATCCCAAAACCTGAACCAGAAACTCAATCACCGACCCAGAACAACCAACACCACCGGCTACCATAAAGTAACCAAAATCAGATCGAGTATGGAAACTTTTAGCATTCCTACTCGATGAATGCCCTAAACCCAACTGCTGAGCGATGAAGAAGCAGGTAATAAAGACGAGAACAGGGGAATCGGAGATCTACAGGCAGCTTACAGGAAAGAAGGAGAGAGTTGGGGAAAGGAATAAGCGCGGAAGGGAGGAGTAGAGGGAGAGGGTGGGATATATAAACAGGATAATTTTAATTCAAAAAGCAGAAATCTAGGAGACCCTCTTCCTTTTTTTCGGCTTTTTCAATCCCTTTGCTTGCAATTATCAGTGGCATCTTTTTCACTCTTCTTTAGGCTCCGTAGATTCGTAGCCGAAGACGTATGGATAAGGATGGATGGGCGGTGGAAATACCAGGTGGATTGATTTCAGGAGAGCATACATCATGGGAATCAACAATCTTCGCCAAACAGAACCCTAAATTTGTATGAGAATCCACAATGGTGATCCTCCAAATTTATTGCTTCAAGTCCCCTTATGAAATAATAGGCTTAACATACTCTTGCGTTAAATTTGGGATAAAAAAAAACTGCTTTCAATAATACGATCACTATATCCAACTTTTCAAACCACATTAAAAATCTCTCTCCTAAATGATCTAAAAACCCAATCATATGAACAATTTTTTGAACAAAGTTTGACTCATATACATTGCAAAATTTACGCTGATAATTTAGCTTCACAAATATGACCATCTATACTCGAGCTATATCCGAATTCACGTATTATTTAACCTAAATCATCCAAACAATAGGGGTTTAAGCTATCAATTCAAAGGAGCAATCGACAAAAGCATTTGGGCAACTTGGAAATCAACGGTGGGCGAGATTTAGCGGCCCTCAAAGCTTTCCCCACTCAATAATTGGCTTGCATCATCTTTCCCACTTTACACTGTAAGCATTTTATTATTACGAGTCCCTTTTTCTTTTCTTAGTTCAACTTAGACCTTAATTTCTATCAGGATTAGTATATGATTTATGAGCATTGTGGTTTTCAGTCTTATCATGCAGCATTTTGATTATTCTTTGACCATTCATCTAACAATGTGGAATAGGTTACCATATTGTGACAGTTAAAAAGGTCATATGAAACAAAATTTCCACCAGCCTCTTTATTTTTATTTTTAATTCATAGTTTTCAATAATAACATGTTGGGTGAGAATTTGAACCTCCAATCTCTTAATCGAGAGTCTATGCCTCAATAGCGAACACTTTTCTTTTCCCCCAAGTATTATTGTCGGCATCAATAAGTAATGTATTCAAATCACCAAAGCATCAGCAATGGAAGCTGCTAGACTCAGAACTTCAAAAGGAGCTTTATCTGCTATGGCTTTGACTGTGTGAGGGCAGGAATCTGTGATCCAGAAGTGGGAAAACGCTATCTCCAGACCTTCAGAAACAACGCCAAAATAGAAATTAGCATACTTGGCAGTCCATGGGGTTAAGACTATGCATGGAGGGAGACTTCAAGCACTTACCGTTCTTGTGAAGGAATCGATTCCATGATTGCTTTGGGAAAACACCATGAGTAACATATGCGCTAACCTTGGCCGCACCGTGAGCTGCTAAAACTTTCTGATTACAAAGTAAGCAGGGCTATTAGAATGCAGTAGGCACACTCAACAATATGTTTGGCCACAGGTTTCTCAGCTTGCAGCTTGACCATGGCCTTGTAGAAAAATAATAATAGCCAAAGTAGAAAATGGGCATGCTTCTAGTAATTGTGTGCAGAAATGACATTGTAGAATAAAATCTTCATCAATGATGTTCATGTAAAAGGAACTTTTTGTAGCTCACTTATTTGCTATAATGAGAATCCTGTCATTAGATGAGGAAAATTGATGGCATTTGATAACATATTCTGTAAGACCTTTGTCATGAGAATGCTCTGCCAATTCACAATGATTTACAACTACAAATGCCTGTAGTCTACTCAACAATCATATAGTATGAAATCAATTAGGTTGGAACTTCAATGAGATACTTCTTATGCCAGCAGTTTTGGTACAACCAAGTAAGAGATGGAGAATTGAGTTTAAATGATCTTTCCGCACTGGTTTGATGAAATAGTAGGGGTTAGGAATCATAAACCTCTACAGTGATATGATATTGTCCACTTTGAACATTAACTCTCATGACTTTATTTTTTAATTCCCCGAAAGGCCTCATACCAATGAAGGTAGTGTTCCATACTTATAAATCCATGATCTATCCTATAATTAGCCGATGTGGAACTCCTCTCCCAACAATCCTCGACGGTATGTAGTAGGATAGGGACCAGACGTATACCTGGCACTCAATCAAGGTTCCTCCAGATTGTACCAAATCATCAACGATAACAACGTGACAACCAGCAGGGACTCCTTCCTTGATCCGCACTATCCTTTTGTCTTCTTCCCGAACTTTTGTGCAGATGACCTGCCATTCGTTGACATCAGATTTTAGACTGTTAAGAGAAATGTACTCATGAAATTCTAGTTTTTAGATAAATTCCAACTAACCACAGGATAGCCATCGAGTTGCTTGTGGAATCGTTTCCAAGCTCCATCATCTGGAAATGCTATAACTACCTGAGATAGCAGGATTAATCACGGCAGTGTAAAAAAAAAAACGAAATTTTTAGAGCTCTGAACTGCATACTCACGTTGTCAGCATCAGGAAGTTGGCGCAGACGTTGCTTCAGGAGTGGAATTCCAGTTTCAAACAAAGGCAAAACATTATCCCCAAAGTAAAACCTTTCCTGCATTGAAATGGAAATTGATATAAAAGATGATACAGATGAGATGGAAATTGGCATGAGATGAAGAGATGCAGATGTCGAAGGATTCTCCAAGGCTAAAAGTTAATTCATGCCCAATTATAGACCATAAATCCAATGAATAAAAACAGACCTGCAAGGCATGAATATCATAGATAACTACGCTTGTTGGGCCACCTCTTGAAATAGGGATATTTGATAAGATCCTGGCCATGGTAAATGCTGTTGCTACATCCCCTTCTTCTTCCATTCGCTCAAAGGAGCCAGTAGGAAAGAAGGGCAATACCAAGGTGAATGAAGCAGAGAAAAGCCTGGGGAGATTGTATATGACTGATATCTGTTCAAAGATGGCTCCTGGGTGGCTGAAGGATGCAAGGAATGCTACATGATTCCCGCGTAGATCTTGAGCATTGTTTATATAAATATTTGGAAAACCATCATCAAACGTCCTGTATATAGATAGTGTGAACAATAGGAAGATTATAGTAGTTACAAAAGAAAGACTACCTGGAGCAGTTTATAACTTGACATATTAACAAAATGAGCTACAAAGAAAACATTAGGCATAACAAAGATTAGCCAAGAATTGAAAGGTTGCAATTATAGGACACAAATATAGCAGGATACAAAGACAGAATCCGAATACCAGCTTCCACAAAATTACTCTGTGGCATACAGGTAAACAGGTGATAGATGATGAAATGGCAGTCTCTTGCCAGAGCTATTTGCTGATCCGGATTAAAGATACCTAGTTTCTGGCATCATCAATTCGTTTTCCCGTTTTCGTTACTAAATGTCTAGATACCTTGTCTTCTTTTGGTTAAAAGCAGCAAGAATGTGACTGAGACACAAGTAGAGACATTGAGAAAGTGATGAAAGTAGTAGTATTGTGGTTGTAGAACAAGAACAGGAACAGAGCAGTTGTGAAGGAAAGTGAAGCAGTTGAAGTGAGTGAAGATTCGAAACAAGCTAACGAAAGGTAATGGTAAGATATGAGTAGGTGAATGATGAAGATTGGCGGGAAAAAGGTGGTGGAAAGAAGAGTACATACACAACAAGTAGAAGAAGCAACAGAAAATCAAAGAACGCAGTGAAGAAATTTGTATTGATGGGGGAGTAAGGAAACCGAAAAGGAAAAGGAAAGGACCTCCATTTGATGGTTTGAAGAGTGATGGAATCGGATTGAGCAGCAACTTTGTGGGCAAGTTCTTCGCATTCCGCGCAGTAGAAGAGAAAGACGTGCTTCTTCGCGGGATTTGGCATTGATTGTCACACCTGAAACCTCCGCCGGAAGGTTGCTTTCACTTGAAGCACAAAGAGAGAGGGGGAGAGGCGCAAGGAAATATAGAATTTGACTGGTGGGACCCATCTGTTTCCCAGTTGGAATAACGCATTTCTCGCCCAGAAAATAAGAAAAAAGAAAAGAGAAGAACCATTTCTGTTGCCCCACTCGGTTCCACCAATCGTCTCATCGCTTCATTTACAGAGGTTTGGTGAGTCCAACAATTTTCAAGGTTGGCCTGAATACGACGGCGAAGAAGAGGAGAACGGTTGACGAAGACGAATCCAATTAAGCAGATCCGAGGCGATCAAAGTTTGGTGGCGGCACCCAAACTCCAATTCCTTCCTTTCTGGGTTTGGGTTTGGATTTGGCTCACCACGTTTGAGCCCAAAAGAAAGCACCAAAGTGGAGCCACCTGAAGGGCCAATTTTCATAGGTAGACTAAAGTGCATCGGGAAATTACCACTTCTTAATTGGGTTTGCAGCCTTCAGTAATTTTTTGGACGGCTCTCTTCCCATTTCTTGGCCCCCCAATCAAATTTAATAACAAGCATAATGTAGACCACGAGACAATATGGGACGACTCTGAAAATGTTAAAGTCAAATACGATTTTGACCTAAACGGTGCGTATAAATTGTCAAATAACAGATAATAATATTGGTTATCTAACCCCCCTCAAAAAAGAAAAAAGAAAAAAGAAAAAAGAAAAGGCGTTTATTACAAAATTCAGAGGGTTCTGTGTTCACCCACGGTTTTGGAATACCTATGCCCTCTTCCCAACGACAGCCGTAACACAGAGCAGAAATAAATAGGGAACTTTAAGATTTTGTACCAACCAAAATTACTCCAACACTTGTTTTTCTTTTAATTAATTTAGTTTTAAACTAAACCTCTTATCATTCGGTTAATGTTTTTTATTTAGTTTGGCTAACGCATGCAACAATGCATAGATACCCACAACTTTTTCTTCTTTGCTCTTAAAACAGGATGCTCACCTGATGCTAACATATTCTCATAAATCGATCAATAAATAAATAAATAAATAAATAAATAAATAAACGAATAATAAAAGAGAGAGAGAATGATGACCATTGAATACGCCCGCCCAGTCAATTTTCAACGCTGAGAGAAGCCCCCTCCCTATAAATACTCTCCAAACCCCTCATCTTCTTCACATCCCATACACTTAAAAAAACACGTCCATGGCTGTGTTCCCAAGGCTTCTCTTCAAGCTCCTACAACGTGTTGTCTACCAACTCTTGGCCAACTCTTGCTACACAGCAGCCAAGAAGGTGAAGCAATATGCCTTCTTTTTCAAACCCCCATCTCTCAAGCCCCCCCTCCCACCGCCATTCTCTCTCTACCCCCACGTCTCCAAATGTAGCCTCCAAAATAGAGCTTCCCACACTCTTGTTTCCGACTTCCATGGCTCCCTTTTGAGGCCCTCCTCCAAAGATTGCTCCTTTTTCCCTTACTTCATGCTCCTCGCCTTCGAAGGTGGCAGCCTTGTCAGAGCTCTCATTCTGCTGCTTTCTTGGCCGATTATCTGTCTTTTGGATTGGGAGCCCAAATTGAAGGCCATGATTTTCATTTCCTTTTGCGGGTTACCTATAAAAAGCATGGCCAATGTTAGCTCCACCGTCCTTCCTAAATTCTATCTCGACAATCTTAACCTTCATGTGTTTGAGGCTTTCCAAGCCATTGGGTGCAAGGTTGTGTTCACGAGCGTGCCTAGGGTTATGGTGGAGGGGTTTTTGAGAAATTATTTGAAAGTTGATGATGTTGTAGGGACAGAGTTGCAAGCTTGTGGTAACTACTTCACTGGCTTGGTGTCCGGGAGTGGGTTGGTCGTGAAGCACAAGGCTTTAGTGGAGTATTTTGGAGAAGAAAGAAGGCCCGACGTTGGCATTGGAGCCCCAAATCTCCATGACTGTCCTTTTATCTCTCTTTGCAAGGTATTATAACAATATCTTTAAAAATGCATCGCCGTTTTCCAATAAATGCTTGAATTTCACTAAATTTATGGAGTATATACCAAAAACTGTACCTATTTTCTTCTAATGCATTTAATTTGAAGCAACAGGTTTTGGATCCAATGAAATCTCCGTACATCTTGCCAGCCCATCAAAAAGTGTATTATTCAAATTTCATTATGTTGACTAAAAAGGTTGGTTGTTTTTCTTTTTTTGTTGACAGGAAGCGTATATTGTGAACAACGAGGACAGCAGAAGGTCGGGAAGAGAAAGATGCCCAAAGCCACTAATATTTCACGATGGAAGATTGGCGTTTTTACCAACTCCTCTCGCAACTCTTTGCATGTTCATGTGGATTCCTGTGGGGATATTTGTAGCCATTTTCAGGATCTGTATTGGCATCGTCCTTCCTTACAGATTAGCCATTTTGTTAGGGTGTTGGAGTGGGCTACGCATAAATCTGGAAGGCTACAACCGAAGAAGCCTTGACTCAAAGCAACACAGATCCAAAAAGGGAGTTTTATTCGTTTGTAGCCACAGAACACTTCTGGACCCTGTTTTTCTAAGCACTTCAATGGGGAAGCCATTGATTGCAGTGACTTACAGTCTAAGCAAATTCTCAGAAATCATAGCTCCGATCAAGACGGTGAGATTGACAAGAGATAGAACGAAAGATGGGGAAGCAATGCAGAGAATGCTAGAAAAAGGGGATTTGGTTGTTTGTCCAGAAGGGACGACATGTCGGGAGCCGTATTTGTTGAGATTCAGTCCGCTGTTTGCGGAGCTGACGGATGAAATCGTGCCTGTGGCTGTGAATACGAAGGTGAGCATGTTTTATGGGACGACGGCGAGTGGATTCAAATGGCTGGATCCCATATTCTTCTTGATGAATCCGAGGCCGAGCTACCGCATGGTCGTTCTTCCTAAGCTTCCGAGGGAGTGGACGTGTGGGGGAGGGAAGAGTAGCTACGAGGTTGGTAATTATATTCAGAGACAATTGGCGGATGTTTTGGGGTTCGAATGTACTAAGCTTACAAGGAAGGACAAGTATCTGATGTTGGCAGGGAATGAAGGGTTGGTTCCTCCCACACAGTGAAAACTCAATTCCAAAAATCCATCCTGGGGTTTTGTTTCATCCGTTGTGAGGGTTTGTTTAATGCTGTTTTTAAGCTCGCCATCGATTTCCTCTGCTGGGATGGAAAGAAAGTATGCATACATTTTACGAAACGGTCTTACTTCCAGTGTCACCCGACTGTTTTCATCAAGCCTGTTTTTTCTGGGTGTTCGATGTCATGTGACCCAGCCTACACATTCATTCTAGCTCCTCCACGTTCATATCTTGATAGTTGATGTCTCACGACCTATTCCGTGATTGTTTTTAAGCTTATCTTCGTCATTGGTGTCCCATGTTCTGTTGTAGTTAATTATATATGTTAGACATGTTCTTCCAATATGCATAACAAGCTGAATACAGCCTCCAATTTTACCTTCCATCACAACATATATAGACGTGAAATAATATTATTAATAATTAATAGTCCTTCCTGAGAGGGCCTTGTTGTTATATATCAATTTATTCATTAATTTTCCAGAAAGTACTAGGGAATAAATAGGAAATGAAGCAGAGAATTAAACACTCCACCAATATTTTGGCCGGAGCATTTCACACCTCCTCAAGTTGTACGATTCAGAGCTTCCAAAAATGGTGCATAGTAAACAATTAACAAAATTCTACAAATTTTCAACCTGCCCCTTCCTACGTGCCGACTCTGGAATGGTGGGAACTAATTTACTGAACCACACGGATGCTGAGTTGGCACCCCCACCGCATCCTCCACCGTCCGATCGTGCCATCTGGCTTTCAAACCTTGATTCAGCCGTTGGACGAACCCCTCCCGCTCTTTTTCCTGATGGTCGAGAAACATTGCCATCTCCGTAGGATCCTTATCCTTCCACCACGTGGGATCGCATGCTGCTGTCAACGTACTTGCCACCCCTCCGGAATATTTCTCCCCCACCAACCCCGCGGCGGCGATTATGTGCTCGACCATTCCGGCGAGAAGAGAGGGCGGGGCGTGGGCCTCTCCATCCCACAGCCACACGCGCGACATCCCTCTAAAAACCGCCACCGACATGGCGCGATTCGCGTTTTTCTCATTGAAAATGGAAGGGCTCAAATGAAGCACAAAGTCATCTCCGCCGTCGTGAAGCTTCTCGACGGCGTAACTAGAGGAGAGATCGGTGCGGGAGAGTGTGAGATGCACGCTCTTAACTGGCTTCTTGGGGAAGGCTTGAGAAGGGTAGATGAGATTCTCGATGAAGGAACTGGCGTTGAGGATCAGGCGCGTGGCTTCGTCATTCGAGACGTAGAAGAGATGGAAGCGCTGACCGGCGGGGGAGGGTTTGGCGTTGTTGAGAATGGTGATGTCGAAGCCTTTAGAGGCCTCGTGGTTGGCCAAGAGTGAAGTGATTCCGACGAAGGCGACGAGAAGGAGGCGGAGGGCGATGGCCTGATTTGAGAGGAAGGGGGATTGGTTGGCAGAAGTTGGAGGGGCTGCGGAGAGGAGAGGGAGAGAGAGGGATTGACGGTCTTCCATTGTTGAACGGGATTGAAGATTTAGGGCAATTATAGGATGGATGAAAAAGGGGGGAATTGGAACTGGAAGGGCTTAACTTGGTGCCATTTCCTTTTCCATTATTATTAGCATTCCTATTATTACTACGTGGTTGATTGTGATCCCCATCCCCAACCCCAACTTCATGTTCAACAAATAATTTGGTAAACAAAAAATGAAATTGTTATTAAGGAATCGCAGAGGAAAAAGCCAAGGAATTGAAGAGGAAAGGTACAGATAGCTAGAAACTGCCAGATTAGATCCATGTATTGTTCTTGGGTTGTTATTCCCAATCACAACATGCTCTGCATTAAAAACACGAGACACATCTCACATCAACCAACTTGAATTGGGTGCACTAAATGCAAAGTCTTCCAAGCAATTAGTTGGTTCTGGTGTTTCCAACTCATGAAGTTGTGCTGGAGAGTTGAAAGAAAGACAGAGTCCTTGTTGGGAGAAGGATGGCGGTATCAGGAAAGCAAATGGAAGAAATGGAAGATGGGATTTACTAAGACTTTTCAGAAACAGATTGAATCTCTGAAGTTATGTTTTTATGTCCCTTGACATGTTGCAGTTGCTGAAACTAGAAATCCCATGGAAGGTTTTAGAAAGGGGAAAAATGAGAAGTAGAGTTGAATTTCATCTTATGCTTGTTCACAATGAACTCTCAGCCTAACAATGTCGGTGCTAGTAATGACGGCAGTCCCACCAAAGTTACAGCTACTTGGAACAGGATTGTTTTGATAGTAGCTAATGAAGGCGTAGGAGGGAGGCATGATCATGAATGATGTTTGGGTTGAATTGGTGAGCAATCAGTTCCACCAAAGCCACATGCATAGTCTACGGCAACTAGCAATGCAGCTGCTAGCCCCTGAAGATGGTGGAGACGTTCTTTTAGGAGAATCCATGGCCGGAGAATACGTGTCTGAGGTTCAAGTTGGATTGATAAATGGAGAATCCATTGCATCAGCTAGCCCCTGCTGATGCAATGGGATTGGAAAGAAACGGTGACCATTTTGGGGGACTGAATTTCTCCTGTGTCCTCTCACTTTGTTGTTCAAGTTCATATAAGCCTGAGATTAAGGACAGTCTTATTTAAAGGACAACAATAGATCTTCCTTTCACTTACATATCCCTTCCCAAATACACAGCAAGTCCGAGGTAGTTGAAGGAAATTCAGGTAGATCATCACTCCTGACAACAATGTTATGGATATTCCAAACAGAACCCAAGTACAAAAAGTCCTCAATTCAGGTGGAACCACCCCAAAACTTCCAAAATTAAAATGGTGGAGGTCAAAATAATTATAGAAGGATACAATACCCATGGCCCATGTGTATAGAGACTTCTCTTTTTGGGTAGATGGTGGCCCTGTATTAGATTGGTATTGGATAACCAAGTTTCTGCCATGGCCACACCGCAGGGAAGTTCAACACCTTCAGTCCTTCTGTGAGTTCTTCAACCAGAAGACGAGGTAAGAACTAGAACCTAAGAATCAGAAGTGAAAAATGTTAACAGCTTATTGTGGGCTTCCTTCACTTTCACCAATTTCATCATCAAAATTGAGCCTCTTCGACCAACCTTACCTTTCAATGGTCGATAAAAATTGCACCACCATGAGAGACCTGCAACAGATTCACGCCCACCTCATCAAATCCGGCAGGGCCAAAGAGTCTTTTGCTGCCAGTCGTGTTTTGGCCTTCTGCGCCTCCCCGCTGGGCAATATGGACTACGCATATCTGGTTTTTAAGCAAATGCAAAACCCTAATATTTTTTGTTGGAATACAATAATAAGAGGCTTCTCTCAAAGCTCAAACCCTCAAATGGCTCTCTATCTTTTCATCCACATGTTGGTTTCTTCACAAATAGAACCGCATAGATTGACTTACCCATCTGTCTTCAAAGCTTACTCTCAACTTGGACTTGCCCATGACGGAACCCAGCTTCATGGGAGGGTAGTAAAGCTAGGTATTCAGTTTGATCCGTTTATCAGAAACACAATCTTGTATATGTATGCTAATTGTGGGTTTCTGAATGAAGCTCGTCGAATATTTAACCAACTAATGGAATTCGATGTCGTTGCCTGGAATTCCATGATTACGGGTCTGGCTAAATGCGGTGAAATTGATGAGGCGAGGAAGGTGTTCGATAAAATGCCTGTTAGAAATCCAGTCTCTTGGAATTCAATGATTGGTGGGCATGTGAGAAATGGGATGTTCAAAGAAGCCCTGAAGCTGTTTGTCAAAATGCAAGAACAGAGAATCCAGCCTAGTGAGTATACAATGGTGAGCTTGTTAAATGCTTCAGCCCAAATTGGAGCACTCAAGCAAGGGGAATGGATTCACGAATACATAAAGAAGAACAATGTAGAGTTGAATTCCATTGTCGTTACAGCAATCATAGACATGTACAGCAAATGTGGTAGCATAGGGAAGGCCCTCCAAGTGTTTGAGAAAATACCCAACAGAGCATTATCCAGTTGGAACTCCATGATCTTTGGGCTGGCAGTGAATGGGTGCGAAAACGAAGCGGTTATGTTGTTCAAAATGCTGGAATCTTCTTCTAATCTCAAACCAGATTCAGTTAGCTTTATGGCTGTATTAACAGCCTGCAATCACAGTGCAATGGTGGATGAAGGCAGGGGATTTTTCTCGCTGATGACAAACACATACAGAATGGAAGCATCAATAAAACACTACAATATAATGGTGGACATGCTCGGCCGGGCTGGGTTTCTGGAAGAAGCAGAGGAGTTGATAGAAACGATGCCGATCGAGGCAGATTCAATCATATGGGGGTGTCTTCTGTCAGCTTGTAGAACATATGGGAACACAGAAATGGGAAAGAGAGCAGCAGAGAAAGTGAAAGAATTGGACCCAGAAGAGAGCATGGGTTATGTTGTTATGGCGAATATTCAGGCGTCGACCAATGACTTCGTGGGAGCAATGGAGGAAAGGGTTTCAATGAGGATGAAGAAGGTGAAGAAAGAAGCAGGGTGCAGTGTGATTGAAGTGGATGATGAAGTTCATGAGTTCATAGCTGGTGGTGGGAGGAGGCATCCTAAAGCTCGAGAGATCTACCTTGTATTGGATGAATTGGGAGTAATTCTAGGAGATGAAACAAATGAATGGGGAGATTTAGAGTTCATCAATGCACTGCAAATCTACTCCAATTGACATTAATGATGATGAGATTAATGTTTGAAGTTTTAAAAATTGGGTCTTAAGGTTTTTTGATGACTACTGAGATGACGTGAGGATTGGATCAGCAGCGGAAGAGCAGCAGAGAGAGAGAGTTTTGGAGAAGGAAGTAAATAAAAAAAAGAAAATCCCACGTGCCGGGACAACGGTCAAACGCCGGTGCCGGTTGTAGTCACACGTGTCGGGATATAGGCCTTTTGTTCTTGGAAACATTTTAAGTTGGAAATGTTGACTCTCAATTTTTTTTCCATTTTCATACATACACTCCTTGTTTCCTTCACACCTTCACAGATCTAAAAACCCTAAATTGGGTCTCTTTTTTTTGGCTTTGAATGGCGAATGATGAAGGGGAAAATAAGGTGTACCAGCAGTATGATCCATTTGTTTACAACCAGCTGGATATGAACCGTACCATCCTCCAGCAACAGCCGTCGTTGGATCCTGCTTTCATGAGCTTCACCAACTTCTTCGACACGTCGTTGGAGTACAACAGCGTGTGGAGGGCGTTGGACGTGTCCTGCTCTTCATCGGAACTCATTTCTCCGGTGGACGACATGTCCAAAAAGAAGGCTTCAAATTCTTCAGTGTCGTCTTCATCTGATGAGGCTGCACCTGCAGCTGAAGACGATTCCGTGAAGAGCAAGAAAGAAGAGAAGCGTAAGAAACAGTATGTATTCAATTTGCTCACTCATTTTTTGAATTTAGAGGTAAAATTATAGAGAAACAAAAGGTGGGTTTCTTAGAACAAGATTGATTATGTTGAGATTTATCAGGAACGCAGCCCAAAAGAAAGAGAAGCGAGAGAGGGAGCCCCGGTTTGCTTTCTTGACTAAGACTGAGATTGATCAGCTTGAAGATGGATATAGGTGGAGAAAATATGGACAGAAGGCAGTCAAAAACAGTCCTTACCCCAGGTTAACTTTCGCTTTTGTTTTTTTAACCCTTTTCTTATTTATAGCTTAATAATGTGTGTGTGTTAAACTCTGCAGAAGTTACTACAGATGCACCAGTCAAAAATGCGTAGTGAAGAAACGAGTAGAAAGATCATACCAAGATCCATCCCTGGTCATAACTACGTATGAAGGCCAACACATCCACCATTGCCCGGCTACACTCCGAGGCCATTTGTCTCCGTTTCACGCATCGGCACCCTCCTCGGGGCCTGCCCTTCCCCAAGAACTCTTCTCGCATTTGCTATCGAAGAACTGCCAGACCGATCCCGCGTCAATGATGTACCAAAATCTAAATCTCCAGCAACATCTTCAAATGCCGGATCATTATAGCCTGTTGCAGGATTTGTTCACTCAAAAATAGGGGCCTTACACAAGTACTCCTCTTTGTATGAGAAGCTATTATACAAGAACTCAGCTTTGTCTGCTTGTTGTGTTAGGATATATAAAACCATGGAGAGATAAAAGATTTGAATTTGGAGTAAAAAGATTTGAATTTCTCAGTCCCTTTATTATATATTTGGCATGTATCTAACCTAAATGCACTATGTTATCTCATGCATTTTTGCATTGAGTACGTATATGAAAGACCAAATTTGTCTCCAAGATTTTTGGAAGGTGTTTTTATTCATATTGGTGAATGTTGGGAACTCTACTTTGAAGTAAATGATCATCGTTTTATCTGAAGAAGAAATTTTTTTGTTTAATCAACTTTTGGAATCTTGTTAACATTCGTCCATATAATGGGTCACATTTTCTTGATATTGCAAAAATATTTGTTGAAAGAGAAAAAGTGAATGTGTCTCCATCTATGGCCTATTTCAACTTTCGAAACACTAAAAGAACCGATAATTTTGATTTGGAATAATGAATTATGTAAGGATTAGGGGTAATCGAATGGACATTAGAGAGAAACTTGGCAGAGACGAGCTAAAGTTAAGAAGGAAGGTATGAAGTAATAATAGAGTAATGAGTTGGGAGTTGACTTTATGGAAGGTGTTTAATGACAAGTTTGAAGGTCAACCTAACATTAAATATTGGAAACTGTCTGCCTTGTAACGCTACAATGACATCAACTCCCTAGTTTCTCAAATCTGCACGTGACTTGCATGTTGTAACTGATACCAATTTGGGGATAGGTCCATCTAAGTTTCGAGCTGACCGGTAAGGAAGGAAGTGTTATGTCCAACATGTTAGAATGCTTAATTAACTCATTGCTTACATCGTTGTGTTGTCAAATTAAATTACAGTAGTTTTGTTTACTTCTCACCTGAAATGGATCCCCTCTATTTATACCTTTCCTAGCTATTCTATTGGTTGGAGCCATGGAAATTATGAAAAGGGGAACATCCTCAACTCGGTTGATACCAAGCTCGGTAGGTCTCGTACCTTGTCCTCTCAAGGGTTAGTCCATATGAGATCTAACATTGGTTGAAGAGAGGAATAAAGCATTTCTTATAAAGTTATGGAAACTTCTCTCTAGTAGACGCGTTTTAAGACCTCGAGGAGAAGTTTGGAAGGGAAAGCCACAATATCGATTGGTAGTGAGCTTGAACTATTACAAATCATATTAAAGCCAGACACTGAGTTACGTGCCAGCGGAGACATTGGCCCCCAAGGGTGTGGATTGTACGATCCCATATCTGTTAGAGAGGGGAACGAGAAACAAACATTTCTTATAAAGGTGAGGAAAAACTTAGAAGGAAAAATCCAAAAAAGATAATATATGTTAGTGGTGGAGTGGAACGCTCCAATGATTCATTCATGTTTGAGTTTGAGTTGCACAAACTATTTATAGAAGTGGAAATGAAATGTATGACTTAGAAGGCAAGTTGATATGTGTAATCTTCATTTACCTAATCCCAACAAAAATATATATATGAATGTAAACTATCCAAGACATCATGATGGTATGGTAGGTGACGGAAGTTAAGGAGAAGGAAATGATATATAATATTAGAGGTAAGGTAACCAACCAACCCAACCCAATCAAAGGGGAAGAAGAAGAGACCTTTATTGTACTGCAACCAAACACCCCACCCATAGAAAAAGAAGAAGAAGAAACCACCCAAAAAGCTTCTGCTTCTGTTGCTTCAACATTTTGATGCCTTCACTCACTAAACATACAGAATGAAGAAGAAGAAGAAGAAGAAGAAGACAGGAGAGTTGTGTTCTGTGAAGAAGGGAGGGGGCAGCAGAACTTACAATGATGTGAAACAGGAGGAGATGGAGGAAGTGGCTTCAAAACCATGTCTGCAAATCTTATCTTTTTATGTTCTCTGAAAAAAGGGTGCTTTCTTTTTTCATTCCCATTCAGTCAGTCCCACACTGAAATGATAGAGGAACTGCTCACTCTTTTCACATTCAATCCTTTCAAACTCCTCATTCTACTTACTCCCTACTACCACTTACAACCAACACAACAACCTACTCTTCTCATGCATTACTTCCCGCCTCGCCTTGACCGGAGCTCTCTTTTGTGGATTCAATCTCCGAATTAGCTGTGCTGCTCTTTTGGCTCCTCCGATCCTATCAAACAATTGCGTTATGTCACATTTTCAACTTCCTTCACTACAATGATGCATGGGAGATTTCATTGATACCTACCTCACGTGACGGGTAGTCATCAGCTTCAAGCATCCTAACAACTTGACTCATTTTTGGTCTCTTATCTGCCTCAGGATCCACACACCTAAGTGCAATCAGAAGGGCACGTTTCAACGCCCGAGTAGCGGGTTTCGTTTCAAGACTTGGGTCCATGACTTCCTCAGCTCTCCTTGTGCCTACCATCACTTTTAACCACTCAACAAGATTAACCTGAAGAATAAAGTACACACTTTTATAACCAGGGAAGCACATAAGCCAATGTCAATTAAGCTATGGAAATTATATGTTCGCCATTCATGGAGATGGAGGAGCAAGTTCAGGTGCACCCACCAAAAATGGAACTAATAACCAATACTCTTACGATTCAAAGTACCTCATTGGCAGGACGGCCATAGTCCACAGGGTCTCTTCCTGTAATTGCTTCTAGAAGGAGAACGCCGAAGCTGTAAATGTCACTCTTCTCGTTTAACAAGCCCGTGTTTGCATACTCTGGTGCCACATAGCTGGTATAAATATTAAAACACCAGCCAGCATTAGCTCCTACCCCAAGATGCTTCATCACAATTAGTCATTGAACAGAAAGAAAAATGAGTGTATACCCAAATGTTCCCATTACTCTAGTCGTGATATGACTCTCCCCTGCATCCAACAGTTTAGCCAACCCAAAATCTGAAACCTTTGCATTAAATTCATCATCGATTAAGATGTTGCTTGATTTTATGTCTCTATGGACAACCTTCGGCTCAATTGCTTCATGTAAATAAGCTAGCCTGCATCCAATATTTGAAATTAGTTCCTCAAACTACTTCAAATGTTTGCCTTCACTTTATATTCCAACTTCTGTGGTTGAGAATTAAATATGATATCATGAAATTCTACCACATGGGGAACAGATGTTGGGTTTTACTTTCTCAAGTTTGAAAGTTTTAATCTGGGTAACTGCGAGCACCATCATAGAAATTACCCAGAGTAGTAGTCATCTAGAATGATGGATTTTCCAAAATTAGGAAAGCGAGGAGTGCAGGGAAAGTAATTTCCAAACCATGAGGACAAAGAATCAAGGTTTATAAATTTAATCACTGGAAGACTGAAATGGATAAAGAGAACTGAAGAATGATACTGTCAGGTCATCAGAAACCATATATAAAAAAAGTGCATAAAAATATGTAAGCTGTTGTTATTACTTACGCCTTGGCAGTGCCAAGAAGCACCTTCATTCGGGCCTCCCAAGTAAGGGTGCCATGTTGGCGCATAGCCCCATGTAACCATTGTTCTAAGTTGCCATTGTTCACATATTCATAAACCAGCATCCTGTGCAAGTAAAAAGGAAAATAGCCATTTTTTTAATGGAGACACTCAAAAAAGTCAACTGAAAACCTACTGACAGGGTAAACACACTTAGTAAGTGCATGCTATAATGGCAGTTCACAAAAAGGGTTAGAAGAAAAAAGGAAATGAAAAGAAAAGAAAAAGTACCTATGAACTCCTTCTATGCAGTAGCCCAGAAGCCGTACAAGATTCTTGTGCCTTACATGGCCAATGGCCTCCACTTCAACTCTAAATTCTTTCTCTGCTTGTCCCCTATAAAGCAACTTAAACTTCAAAAATAGAACTATTGTAGCTGTAGTTTTATTAATGTTTTAAACTCGGAAGCTCCTTACAGATTATTGAGAAGTTTCTTCACTGCAACTTCAGTTCCATTTATCAGTCTGCCTTTATAGACTACCCCATAACCCCCTTCACCAAGCACATTGTCAGCAGAAAAACGATTTGTTGCATATTCAAGATCCCTGAGTGTAAACCAATGACCCCAACCAAGATGTGAAATTTCGGGCAAGCCAACAAGAGGAGAGGCAGTTACAAGTCCTCCATACGCTCCATATGACATGGAACCCTGCTTTCTAACAGTCCCAGAGCTTCCTTCTTCTCCTGAATGTGAGCTAAAAACCCTTTCATTATGATAATTGGAGCTGCATTGGCTTATGTTATCATGATCACTTGACTTGCTCATACCCAAATGACCAATCATCTTCTCCGAGTTCTTGTCACTAGATTTATCATTAATGGAAAGATATAGACTCTCAAGATGATTGTGGTGAGCAGATTGAGTAGCTATTCTGTCCACCTTGATATCCTTTGAGACATTTGGTATTTGAGAAACAGAGAAGTTTTCAGGGGATCTCCTTGTTTTTCTTCGAAACATCACCCATACAGATAAAATACCAAGAATCAAAACAATAAATGCACCAACACATAAGCAGATCAAAACCCATAAGGACAAACCAAGGAAGGATGTTTTCTTTGACAATTCTGTATTCAGACTACTTCCAGATGACATAGCTACGGCCGATCCTCAAGTTGCCAAAACTTTGAACTGGCTCAGCCCCCTAAGTTCCAGCCGCGGATAAATCAAGACATTTCGACCTGAGAATTAGATGCAAAGCAGCACGCAGTTTCAAATTATAGGCAAGAGATTCTTGAGAGAGCTTAGTATCGGTAACACAAACACTAAAGTTTCTTTCAAGTTTGACAGTCATGTAACTCAAATTACAAAACAGGAAACATTCCCCAAATATTGCAATCTCCTTCACAATCCTTATAAATCCAGAGAATAGAACAGAAAAAGGGGGCAATAAGTCGGTTAAGGAAGATACTTTACATCTGCACGGGGCATTCAACTGGATTCCATTCTTTCCAAAACAAAACCCAAGATACTCGTATGTACAAGTCATGATGAAGAAGAAAGCAAAATAAATTCAATGTCCCATTACAGAAGAAAACCCACATTAACGAACCAACAATAGCTAAATCAAAAGGGGTAAATCTATCAAACAAAAAGGAACAAATTTGTAGAAGGCATCACTTAAGATTGAAGTAAAAGACAAAAGAGAAACGGGAACAAATCAAAGAAAAGAGAGGAAAGTGATTCAAAGTAGAAAGCATTCATCCACCTTTCAACAGATCTAGACTAACCGCCTTGATCTTCCTCTTTAAAACGA